AACTAAAACGTGCCTCTCTTGGCAGCAAGCATCCAAGGATCTTCTAGATCAGTTTTACGGAACACGCTGTATCATTGCTTCCTTTCTCGATCAGTGCCGACTGATGCCAACCGTGCAAATTCGGGAATTCCCCGATCACAAAGTGCCGCCCCCATTCGAACAAAGCATCGATGAGCCGTGCAGGTCGGTCATTTGGAACACCCTGTATCCGCGCTTTCCGCCTCCGACGCGACGGGGACGACTGCTGCCAACCGTGAAAATTGAAAATTCACCAAGTTGATACTGGCACTGGGCTCCTTAGCAACAAGGATCCGTGGAAGATTGGGATCACTTTTAGGAACACGCTGTATCTACGCACTCTCCTTTTTTCGGGACGACTGCTGCCGAGCATGAAAATCGAGACTTCAGGAAATTTATAGTAAAATCGAGATCACCTTTAGGAATACTCTGTATCTACACACTCTCCTTTATTCCGAATGACTGCTGCCAACCGTGAAAATTGAAAATTCACCGAGTTTATAGTTGGCTCTCTGGCAACAAGGATCCTTGGAAGATTGGGATCACTTTTAGGAACACGCTGTATCTACACACTCTCCTTTTTTCGGGACGACTGCTGCCAACCGCGCAAATTGAGAAATCACTGACATTCAATATTGACTTTCTTGGCAGCAAAGAAGGAGAAGGTTTTAGAGGTTTTCAGGAACCTGCAAATTGCTAGAAGAGGAAATACTTGTTTTGTAGAAAAAAGGGGGGAAAAATTTTCCATTCCTAATCATTACTTTTTTTGAATAAGCAATTTTTATAATTGAAAAAATTTGGACAATTAAGAACAAGGCATAAAAAAAATTTTGGAGCAGTCAGAAAATGAGTGTTACATCAAATCGCATTTGTCTATCTTATTCTGTATGCAAGCCTTGTCATTTTTAAGTTTTCAACTTTCAACTTGGTAACTCTACCCTGAGGTAGAGATTTTTCACACCGGGTCGAAGTATTCATAAAAATCGTTTCACAAAGGAGGAAACGGGTTTTAAGGAGGACCTGAGGATGGGCGAACATCGCTTCTTTCACGTAACTCGGGTTTACCTCAGGTCCCCAACCACAATAACGCAATACATAAAAATTAAAAAGAAACGCTGAAACATGTTTGAAAATCATTTATTTCCTAAATCAATGAAGCCATCATAAACATGGACCGCCGGGCCGGTCAGGTAGACCGGCTGTCCGAGCCCCGCCCAGGCGACACGGAGCGTGCCGCCAGGGAGATCCACGCGCACCGGCGACGTCAGCGCACCCTGGCGGACGCCGCAGACAACAGCAGCACAGGCGTTGCTGCCACAGGCCCTCGTCTCGCCCACACCACGCTCGAACACGCGGAGCCGGATATGCCCAGGATCGACGACCTCCATGAAGCCCACGTTGGTTCGCTCCGGGAAGCGCTCGTGGGTCTCCAGCATGGCTCCGAGCGTATCCACAGGCGCGGTCTTGACGCTCTGGACCTGGACCACGCAGTGCGGGTTGCCTAGCGACACGCAACCGAATGTCACGTTATCCATGTGGTAAAGAGTCTCGGTTTTGTTCGTCGGTGTGCGGAAGGGTATGAGTCGCGGTTCGAAGACGGGCTCGCCCATGTTGACGCGGACCTGGTCGTCCGGCGTGATGGAGAGGACCATGCGGCGGCCGGAGGCGGTGCTGACGTGGAGGTCGCGTTTCCGGCTCAAGTGCTGGAGCTGGACGAAGCGGGCGAAACACCGGGCGCCGTTCCCGCATTGGGCCACCTCGCTCCCGTCCACGTTGAAGATCCGGTAGTGGAAGTCCACGTCAGGCTCGGGCGACGGCTCGACGACCAGGAGCTGGTCGAACCCGACGCCCAGGTGTCGGTCGGCCAACCGACGGATCTGGTCCGCCGTGAAGGAGACGTTCTGGGTGACGGCGTCCACGACCATGAAGTCGTTGCCCAGGCCGTGCATCTTGGCGAACCACACTTTGGAATGCGATTTGGGGCGGTGATTTTCGTCGACGGCTAAGCTTTTGACGACGCCGATGGCCATGCCGATGTAGGTGGTGAGGCTACCTATGGAGATTCCGATCATCGTGGCGGTCTTTCGTCGGTCAGTATGGTGATAGAATTTGACCTGCGAACATTATGCATCTGTGATAAGGCCCAAAATCCCTGTGATTTACTTCCTGAGGACGCTACGCGGACCCATCTATAAAAATCTCCGAACGAATTCTGCTCGCTGCTCGCATTCCTAAATGTGGGGATCAAGCGCGCTACTCTTTAAACTCGGGGATAGGTATATGTTGTGGTATCACGCGAAAAGGAAGGAAAATCTCATCTTTTCATCAGTTAAAAATCACTGACGTTTATGAATGAACGTATTCTGCTCCCTGCTAGCATCGCATGCATCAAAGCACCGAGTTTGAAGCATTGCGCGCTTGATCTCTGCATTTAGCGATGCGAGCACTCGAGCAGGGTGCAGAATGCGTTCACTCATAAACGAAAAGATAAGATTTTCCTTCCTTTTCGCGTGATACCACATTATAAACCTTCTCTTGCATGCGAATAGTTGCTCACTTGGTTTTCGTATTCATCAATGCTAGCATTTTCCCTATATTCATACACGGCAGTAATTTTATAGATGGGTGAAAATTCAAGATTTACCTTCTATTCTGAGAGATACCACAGCAGTACACTCCGGTGTCCGAGTAGTTCCGCGCTTGTTTTCCGCATTTACCGATGGCATACTGGCTTCTTTCACTAACGTCAATGTTTCGAGACGGGGACGAAGGCTGAGATTTCCCTTCCTTTCCGCGTGATACCACATCACATACCCACCCCCGGGTTTGGAGAGGTGCGCACTTGATCTCCGCATTTTAGTCCAGGCGCCTGGTAGCTAAAAATGAGACTACCTGGAATTTCGGGTACACAGCGATTTTTTTGGCTAACTATATGTTTTTTGGGTCGCTGAATCCGAATCTGAAGTTTCCTACCGCGTATCTGGTGAGCATTTTCCGCCATTTTGAAAAAATGGCCTAAAAAGGCCTTTTTTTGCGTTTTTTGTTTTACATAGCGGCTACGCATGAGAGAAAGTCCCGGATTTAGTTAATGTTTTGAATAGCTGACATAATTTGGAAGAAAATGGCTTATACATATGCTACATTTGCTTAAAAATTGAGGAAGATACAGCATCGTGAACATCGCGCCCATTCACGTTTTCGCGTCGCACCCGTCAACGCGCGATCCGGCTCATGCCGGCTTCATGCGTAGCCGCTATATCAAAAAACCGCAAAAAAGGCCTTTTTAGGCCATTTTTTCAAAATGGCGAAAAATGGCGGAAAATGCTCACCAGATACGCGGTAGGAAACTTCAGATTCGGATTCAGCGACCCAAAAAACATAAAGTAAGTCAAAAAATCGCTGTGTACCCGAAATTCCAGGCAGACTTACCAGGCGCCTGGACTATTTAGACAATAGACGTAAATGAAACATTCAAATTGAACAATCGCACTGCGTTATTATCAGTTCGCTAGCAGCACATTCAAATAATATATTTTATTGTATCTTGGAAAAATCATGGCAGATTTTAAAGTGTTCATGTTCTTCTACTCGTTCAAACTAGACAGTGGAAAAGTTGCAACGTCGCAAATTGAGGTATGGACGTTTTTTATCTCACTTTTGGTGATGAGAAAATGTGTAACTGCGGAAGCGTCAGAGTGTAATATCGGCGGTAATCGTGGTCTTCTGCCGTCAAGTCAAGTCGATACTCCCGAAGGCGCGCTCTGAGCAACTATATCCCTTTTATCCCAATTTTTGTGTCGTTGTTTAATCTCTTGACCGATTAGCTACATAGTTCGATTACCGATTACCGATTATCGATCATTCGATGATTTAAATAATTGAGCATGCCAACGACAGATATAGTGGACAAAGGGAAAATGAAGCAATCCTGTTGGTGGAAGCGCGCAGGTGGTTGCGATGGACAAAAAAGACAAGTAACGAACCGGAACTTACGTGGGACCTTATAGTTAGTCCATCATTTTCCTCCTTAGTCTATAGCAGTCATCCGTTTCAACCAATGGGATCGCTTCATTTTCCCTATGTCTCGTTATCTATCGCTTTGTCTACCAATTTAAATAATCAGTCTGTAGGTAGAGCTATCCAATTACCTTACGGTTCAGGTTTGAAAGCCGCCAATTCCAAGTTTTTGGTAATAGGTAAAGACAAACTTAAGCGGGCTGATTATTGAAATTGATAAACAAAGCTATAAACAAAGAAGACAACGGGAAAATGAGGCGTTTATATGAGTGGAAGCGGGTGGTTACAATGGACAAATGGAGTGAGTAATAGACTAATCAACGGCAATTCACGAGGGATCGTATAGTCAGTTCATCCTTTCCTCCCTTGGTCTACAACAATCACCCATTTCAACCGATGGGGTCGCTCTTTTTTCCCTATGTCTTCTTTGTCTATCGTTTAGTCTATCGATTTCAATAATCAGCCCGCTGATCTGCGAAGTTACTAATTTATATTACCAATGCAACTTGTTCCGGTAGCTTTGTTACTCGCATAGATTCACGCATGCCCACCTATGCGTGTGGTAGAATTAGTGTCATTATGTACATCTCTGGAGACTTGAACGCCGGGATTAAGAAAGTAAGCGACGATTTCAAAATTGCGATGATTACTTCAGACTAAAATTGATGACTTTAAGCCAAAAAATGTGTGGCGATTTTTGGAAATTGTTAAGAATTTACAGCTCATAGTGGCGTTTCATTAAAATACTTCATGGAGAATGAAATATTTTTACTGTTTGACAGTCATTCAAAAGTTCAATTGTTTTCCGAGATTTTTGATGACGATTCCTTTTTAAGACAGATACCTACCAATTTTTGATAATTTTGAAGTTGCCAAGATAGCACTCCAAGCCACTTCTGCCATCTTGGAGTTTTAAAATTCAAAACTTTGACTGAAAATTCGACCTCTACGTGAAAAACATCCACTGCCACCACGTCTCACAAAAATAAATCGAACAGGCTCCGAGATAGCATTTTAGGCCGCATCCAGTATAATGGATTTTTAAATTATGAAAATTTGAGTTGGAATTCAAGGTTTCCGTCAAAAAATGCCACCTTGTACCAAGTTTCAAGAAACGTCCTGGAGTGTATTGACGGCGGCAATCGTGATCTTCTGCCATCAAGTCGAGGCGAAACTCTTGAAGGCACTCTGAGCAACTCTATCACCTCGGAAGTATTGCACAGTATCAGACGAAATTGAAGGCGCACTAGCGTAGGCAACTTGACTGGTAGCGTTTATCGTACGATATGCGACTCCTGATCGATCAATTTTTTTGAAACTCAATACCACGTGGTATTTTTTGACTGAAAACCTGAATTTCAACTCAGATTTTCATTATTCAAAAATTCAAGATAGTGAATGTGGTCTAAGATGCTATCTCGGCACCTGTTTGACTCCTTTTTGTGAGCCTTGGCGGCAATGGATGTTTTTCACATAGAGGTCGAATTTTCATACAAAATTTTAAAATTTAAAAATCCCAGATGGCGTATGTGGTCTAGAATACTATCTTGGTGCATTCGAAATTATCCGACTTTGCGATAGAGGTATCTATCCTTTTTAAGTTCAGTTTCAAATCGATGTACTCTCAGCTGACTTATACCTCGATATCGGCTCGCTCTTCAACCGTTATGAAATGAATCTGTTTGTTTCGTTTGTTTGTTTGTTTTTTTGAATTATTCATGTATTTCTTTTTTTATTCCATTTCCAACAGGAGTCGCGTATCACACGATCTATAGGACTCTACGGATGCCAGTGAATTTACATTCTTTAGTGCGCCTTCAATTCCGTCCGATACTGTGCAATACTTCCGAGGTGGTATAGTTGCTCAGAGCGCCTTCAAGAGTATCGCCTCGACTTAACGGCGAAAGATCACGATTACAACTGATATTACTTTCTGACGCTTTCGCAGTTACACATTTTCTCATCACCAAAAGTGAGATAAAAAACGTCCATACCTCAATTTGCGACGTTGCAACTTTTCCACTGTCTAGTTTGAACGAGTAGAAGAACATGAACACTTTAAAATCTGCCGTGATTTTTCCGAGATGTGGCAAAATACATTATTTGAATGTGCTGCTAGCGAGCTGATAATAACAGTAATTGTCATTTAGTACGTTTCGGTGTCTTATAACCTCTTCGGGCTCTTTTACGTCCAGGGTTATAAAATTTAGGGTCTACTTTTGTTTGTTCAAGGGTTCTTATATACCCCGACTTCTTTTTCCCCTCTTTAATTAAAGCATAGACTTTTAGTCCAGGCGCCTGGTAGCTAAAAATGAGGCTACCTGGAATTTCGGGTACACAGCGATTTTTTTGGCTTACTTTATGTTTTTTGGGTCGCTGAATCCGAATCTGAAGTTTCCTACCGCGTATCGGGTGAGCATTTTCCGCCATTTTGAAAAAATGGCCTAAAAAGGCCTTTTTTTGCGTTTTTTTTATATAGCGGCTACGCATGAGAGAAAGTCCCGGATTTAGTTAATGTTTTAAATAGCTGATATAATTTGGAAGAAAATGGTGTATATATATGCTACATTTGCTTAAAAATTGAGGAAGATACAGCATCGTGAACATCGCGCCCATTCACGTTTTCGCGGCGCACCCGTCAACGCGCGATCCGGCTCGCCGCGATCAGCCAAGTTCCGAAGCGTTCTAAAGCTCCGAGATCCGAGGTTCCTCAATTTTTGAGCAATCCTAGCATATTTATACACCATTTTCTTCCAAATTTTGTCAGCTATTCAAAGCATTAACTAAATCCGGGACTTTTTCTCATGCGTAGCCGCTATATAAAAAAAACCGCAAAAAATGCCTTTTGAGGCCATTCTTACAAAATGGCGGAAAACGCTCACCAGATACGCGGTAGGAAACTTCAGATTCGGATTCAGCGACCCAAAAAACATAAAGTAAGCCAAAAAAATCGCTGTGTACCCGAAATTCCAGGCAGACTTACCAGGCGCCTGGACTATTTAGCGATGCGATCAGGGAGCATTATGCGTTTACTCATGAACCTTATTAATTTTTGACTTGTAAAAAGCTAAAATTTTCCCTCCTTCTCCAGCGATACAAC